AGAATTTTGAGGCTATTTGGGTTATTAAGGGAAGATTGACAAAATCTGCTCACTTTATTCCAATGAGAATGGATTATCCATTGGAGATGTTAGAAATGTTGTACATTGAGAGGATTGTCAATTTTCACGGTATTTCGTCTAGTATTGTGTCAGATATCGATCCGAGATTTACTTAGATATTTTGGGAAGGTTTGTAACGTGCCTTGAGTATGAAGTTGCGTTTGAGTTCTGCTTATCATCCACATACAGATGGTCAGACGGAGAGGACCTTTTAAGAGCTTGTGTGTTGGAAAAAGGAGGTGCTTGGGATATGTACTTTCCTTTAGTTAAGTTTAGTTACAATAACATTTTCCATTTGAGTATCGGAATGGCACCATTTGAAGCATTGTATGGTAGGAGGTGTAGGACACCATTGTGTTGGTATGAGTCAGGAGAGAGTGTTGTGGTTGGACCTGAGATAGTCAAGCTGACTACCGATAAGATTAAGATGATTTAGGAGAAGATGAAGACTTCTCAGATTCGTCAGAAGAGCTATCATGACAAAGAGTAGGAAAACACTTGAATTTCAGGAGGGAGATCATGTGTTTCTTCGAGTTACACTGGTAATAGGTGTTGGTCGAGCATTAAAGTCGCGCAAGTTAACACCGCATTTTTTGGTCCATACCAGATTATGTAGAAGATAAGAGAGGTGGCCTATCGGCTTACTTTTCCACCATCGCTTGCTAATCTCCATGATGTGTTTCATGTATCTCGATTGAGGAAATACATTAAAGATTCGTCTTATATGGTCCAATAGATGATGTGAAGGTGAGAGATAACCTGACTATGGAGACATCACCTATGCGGATAAAGGATCGGGAGTTGGAGCAACTTCGAGGTAAAGAGATTGTCTTAGTGAAGGTAGCTTGGGGAGGACCAGCAGGTGGAAATGTGACTTGGGAGCTTCAGAGTCAAATGAGTCAGTCTTAACTTGATCAGTTCATTTGAGGTAATTTTTTAGGGTGAAAATCTATTAAGTGGGGGAGAGTTGTATCACCCCAATTTTAGTAATTAGTTATATATTTGATATTAATTAATTAATTGTTTGATTTTGTGAGTAATTGGTTTTATTTAAATTATTTGATAGGTGTAATATGTGATGGGTTATTGGGGTTAAGTATGTCGAACCGTAGAATTATAATTAGTAATAATGTCTATCTATGATGTAATTATTTTTATTAAGTGATGATTGTAGAAAATAGTAGAATAATAAGTAATTGGGCCTAACGATGAAATGTGAAGTGTAAATGTGGAGGAGTGTTAGTAAGCCCAATAGTGATTATTAGAGTTAGTGTATTGTTAAGGGTTTAAAAAAAAGAGGTAAATAGAATTTAGTAAGAGAATAAGGAGAAAAGAGGCTAAAGTAGAGAAAAAGAGAATAGGAGAAAGAAGATAAGAGAATCCTAAGGATAATATTCGATGATTATATCGACAATCAAGGTAAGGGTGGGTTTTTATATTGTTATGGGAATTGTATGATGATGTATGATAGGTAGATTCATGTTTAGGATGAAATCCCTAATTTACATGATTTTGAAATTATTAGGTTTTGATGAGAAATCCATGAATATGATGAGAAATGGTGTTGTGATGTTTCTATTTGAAAATACATAATAAATATAGGTTATAATGCCTTAAATTGTAGTAATTTGAGTTTTAAAAAGTGTTTTTTGGTGGAAGAATCGCACATGGAGAATGTTGTCTTCACATGAAAATTTTCTGGTTTTAGGTTCTTGGCAGTCGCCTTTAGGGCCATGGCAAATGTCGTGGCATGGTGGTGGCGAACGTCACCGAGGTCGTCGCGGCCAGACAGATTTGGTTTCCAACGGAGTTTTGATCATAACTTTTTAACTGTATATCCAAATGACGAACCGTTTGAGGCGTCAGAAAGCTAATTAATAGAAATGTAACATAGTATAGATAAGAGAATTGGTTGCCCAATATTTTTATGTATAATATGTTTAGGAAGTCAATTGTATATATATTCTATTAATGAATTGTTGCATTGTTGCTGCAGGTTGTGAAATTAATTATAGATAATTAATTGAATACTTGTGTGTGTGCTTGTATAAGTATGTTTTGTTGTGTGACAACATAAATACCTGATAGTTATTGCTTGTTTTGATGATAATAAAGTTGCGGTTGTATTGTAAAAGGTGTTTTATACCATTTGAATTCTTGTGCATTTTATGAAAGTGAATTGTGTGTGGGTGATTCATAAATATGTGCATGTATGTGTAATTGTGTGGTAGTTCAAGTGTGATGAATCATCTAAAATATCCATGGATGTTAAGAATATAGAATGGTCTTAATTGCATATGGTTGTTGTAATTGCACATGCATCATTTATTGTCAAGAGGCATGCTTGTTTGTTCCGAGGGAGCTAGTGACTTTCCCAAACCTAGAGAGGGTTTGAAAGCTTAAAGGACAAGCTTTTTGTGTGTTATTGGTCCAGAGGTCGGACCTGGTTTAAAATAAAAACCGAATAAAAATAATAGTGATTGGTACCATATGCATGAGTATTGCATTTGAGTTGCATTGAGTCATATTGTGTTTATGTTTGCGATATGAAATTGTGTGAATTATGTGGAATTGATATATTATGAAATTGAGAATAACATGATTAGTTGGGTGGTGTTTTGTTTTATAAAGCATATGAAGTTTGAGAATATTATTCGTGTGTATGTATGTTATACATTATATATTGTTATATGATTTTGATAATTATGTGAATTCTTACCCTTCTGTTGGAATGATGTTTTATAAGACATTGCTCAGGTGCTGAAGATTAGAGTTTCTTCTAGCAAGAAAGTAGCTGATGGAGTAACTTATTTTGTTTTTGTATTTATTTTAGGTTGAGTCATGCTCTGGTCATGTAACACTGGGGAAATGTTTGGATTCATGTTTTGAGATTAGTGTTATTGAGCATGACCGGAGTTTGTTATGTATGGAGTATGTGTGACACCCTTAAGTGATATGTATGTTAGATCTACTTTGATTTATGATGTAATATTCCGCAGGGTTTTAGAAGGTGTTACATTTAGTGGTATCAGAGCCTGGTTGGTTAGTTAACCAAGTTATTAATGTCTTTATTCCTGTTTATATTCAATATGTGTATGTGACACTATCATTATTGTATGTTCTAGCGAGAATTTGTTTTTGGAATTTCTTAAAACAATGGTTAGAGGCAGGAATTGTGATGCTATTTCCGAAGCTTTGACAATGTTAGCTAGAGAGATTAGGCAGAATCAGCAAGGCAATGTTGGGAATAATAACAATGATGATGAGTTTCATGTTTTTGGGAAGTTTCAGAGGAATAATCTGCCAATTTTCGAGGGAGCCCATGAAATTGACAAGGCATAAGTATGGCTGAAAGCGATTGAGATGATATTTCGAGTCATGAACTATTCAGATGCACAGAAGGTGCAGTTTGGCACCGATATGCTTGAAAAGGAAGCTGAGGACTAGTGGGGTAACTCTAGTCAGAGGTTTGAAGAAGAGGGAACTAAGGTTACTTGGGATGTTTTATGAGAAGCATTTATGGAGAAGTATTTTCCAAAAGATGTGCGTGGGAAGAAGGAAATTGATTTCCTTAAACTGAAGCAAGGTAATTCAACTGTGGCATAATATGCTGCAAGGTTGGAAGAGATGATTAATTTATATACTCATTATAATACTTCTAATGCTGAGAGATCCAAACGTCTTAAGTTTGTGAATAGTTTGAGGCTTGAGATCAAGCAAGTCATGGGTTACTAGCAGATTAGACGATTTTCTAAACTGGTTAATAAGAGTAGGATCTATGATGAAGATAGTAGAGCTCGTTCTACTCACTATAAGAGTTTGAATTAGAAGAAGGGAAAATGTCAATTCAGAGGAAAGTCGTATGAGAAAAATCCGAGTGGACTTTTCACGTCAAAACCGTCCAAACGGAATCGCGAACACCCCAAGTTAGCATCATCCATACATGATGGCGAGAATGATTGATTATTGTCGAAGAATTAAAATAAAAAGATAAATCTTTGTAAATTATTTTTTTTGGATGATTTATATTATTTTAGAGAGCATTTTCAATTTAAAAAATTATTTTCTCGAAATTAAATAGTTAGAAAGTAGTTTTAAAATTGTTTTTAATATGGTCGGTTCTGTGCAAAAGCAACAAACTCTATAGTAAAAGGTTCTAAATTTTGGAAGGCCCCGAATTTTAAAAAGTCCAATTTTTTATATTAATATTAATAAACATAAAAAATGTTATAATAAAAACTCAATAAATCAAAAAAGTTCTATAATAAAAACTCAATCCATAAAAAATTTAAATTGATCAAAAGTCAAATTAATTATAACAAAATTTAATTTTTGTTAATATATAATTATATTTTTAATGTGTCATTTTTAATTATTACAATTACATTTGTTTTTAAAATTTTGGCTCATTTTTTAAAATTAGAACGGGACCTCCGAGATGATTGAGCATATCGTGATTTATAATGAAGTTGGAGAAAAACTAAAAACAAAAAATTTATGAATAAAATAAATTTTCTAACTTTCTTTATTTTTATGGTTTTATTCCCATATAAGAAGGGGTAAATGTCTATTTTCATAAAAATTTATATAATTTTTAATATAATTATCAAAATTTTAAAAAATATCAAAGTATGTACCTAACAAATTTTTTTAAAATATACAAAAGTTAAATTTATTATTTTATTCTATAAATAATTTATAAATATGAAACATAATCTTAATGTTTGTTTTTTGTTCCAGAGAGAAAAGAAAAAGTAAAAAAATAAAGAAGGAAATTATCTAAAAAATAAAGTTCCACTAGTATTAGCTAGCTGGAGAGTGATGATTCCAATAGAAGACTCTGCAAAATATCGATACGCTGCATCATTACCAACTTCATGCTTTGTTAGGTACTCAACACACACATTCCCCTTTCTAAGAGTATGAAATATTTGAACTTGTCATTCCCTAGAGGGAAGTTCTTTAATGTTATGAAGAATCGCGACATAATGATGCCAAGCCTTAACAAACTCTGAGATAAGCTTGATAGTAGAGTTGGAGTTAGAATAACACAATTGGTTTGATGCCAAGTTCCCAGGTAATTGATAAGTGCAAAATGAAGTTATTTTTGTATATAAGTTTTGTTGCACTTATTGATACTTTTTATTAATATTATTTGAATAAATCTCAACTTTAGTGTAAATATGTATACTTTGTGTATATTTGTGTTTTCGATTAAATTTTGTATCGTTTGATAGATTTTATGTCTTTTTGTAGGTAATGTCGCATATTCAGAGCATTGAAGAATAAGGTGTCAAAGGCACGGCTCTGGGAAATAATTTTTTAGAAGAAATGCCCAGGCGAGCCCAATTAGCGCGGTTTATAGCGCGTTATGGGTGTTTTTGTGAAGTCTAGAAAAAGTGCATTTTCTGAGCTCGCTAAGCGCGATTAGACCATTTAGCAGGAATTAGGCAGTTTAATGTGTATTTTTAGGAGCAACCCGCTTAGTGCGTTGAGGCCGCTTAGCGCGATCTACTAAATTTTGTTTTATAACATTCATTTCATTCATTTGTAGGGAGGTGATTTTGGATTGTTTTTGAACCCCAAATTCATCACCTCCATTCATTGATAGGATGCGCTAGAAAACAATATATGGTCTTGCATATGGATGATTCCGAGGCAGATTTCTCATCAACCAGCGCTAATAACCCACGAGATGTTTGGTTTTCCTCTATTCCTCTCTGTGTATTTCTCTTTTATTGGGTTTGTTTGTATATTTACTATGAACATATGTATATGTATTGATCATGGTGTTGTATAATATATGCTTTACAAATCATCATTGTTGCTTTCCTTGATCCTTTTGCATTTGTGTTTGGATTTGTGTTGTTGTAGAGATAGACATCATCAGTCTTGTTTGGAAAGGAAATTTGTTAGTTTCTAGATTCTAGAGAAAGATTTAGAGCTAATAATCACTTGGGTATGAATCTTAATGCTTCCATGTTGTTGTGTTGTGTTGAGATATCATCAACGCGAGAATACAATTGTCCTTGCAATTTGGGTTAGACATAATCTTTATTGTGATATGTCTCGTTGGTGTTGTAGAGATGGACACTGATGTCAGAGATACATGACCATTTTAATGATTATTGCATATTGAGTACAACTAATCGATATATTTAAGTTTGTGATGAGTGGTGTAAATTCATGCTTGATAGTTTCTCCTCTCCAAAGAATTTATTCTTTCTTATTTATATGTTTAATTCCCACATTTACTTTAAATCCATTCTAAACCAAACTCAAGAATGCAAGACTTGTCGAATGAAAATTTAGTATGCACTAATCCCAGTGGAAATGATATGATCAAACTAAATAAATACTTATTTTTGCTTTCCACTTTACCGCTTCAGTAAAATGGCATAGTTGCTGGGGAATTGTGTTTTATATTGGATCGAATTGCGATAGTTTCTTTGGTTTTGAGTTTTGCACATAATGTCCATATTGTCCCTAATGTGTGAATACAAACTTTTTTATATTGATGCTTGTATATGTTTACCATATTTGTGAATTTTACATGTTTTACTATACTTGTGTAAAATGCATACTTGTTGATTTATATATGTTTTATGTTTGTATTTCCACACTTGTTACGTTTGTGTTTTTCAAGTTATTCAAGTGTGTGTATAAATGTGTTGTGTATCAATGTTGTTCAAGAATTATTGTGAATTCTCTAGTTTTCGTAATATTTGTTCAAGTGCTTGTTAGGACACTTTCTTTAGGCTTCCCAATGAGGCAACACCATGACATGATTTGAGGAGGTTGCTAGCTAGCACAATAAATGCATCGAGCTAGTATTTTCTTGCTTATGTGATGGTTACTATGAGGTTAAGAAAAAGAAAAAGAAAAAAAATGTGAAAAAGAAATGAAAAATAAAAAAAAGAAAGATAAAAGCTTTGAAAAAGAAAAAAAAAGAATAATTGTGATAATAAGTATTGTGTTTGGTGTGACAATTTAGGAATGTAGAAGAAGTTTGATTGAGATTTTATGGTTTAAACTTTGTGAGTTGATCATTTTCTTAGGTTTAGGTAAGTTTTTATTTCAATTAGATTTATAAATTTCCCCTTGTTTGTTAACTAAACCAAATTACAACCTTTAAAAGCCCTTCTGGTTCTTGCCTTTATATTTTGAATATGATTTTTTGGATGAAGACATAATTTAGTCTTTTGTTTGCAAGATTGTTGGATGAATGTCAATTCCCTCACTCTTGTGTGTTTTTCATCTACCGATGAATTTTTGCTAGGTGTGATTCATGATTGAGCATGTATTGTTTTATAATGATTAGTATGATTTTTGTACTTAAGATTCGTTTCATTTTTATATTGTCGTTGTAGGATTATGGTAAGTTTTGCCTTGCTTGTGCATTTTTGTATTTGTACCATACATTTGTTTTTATTTTCCGAAACTTGTTGTTTCATGATTATTTGGTTGATTACTTTTACTTCTTTAAGTTTGTTTGGCCTTGTTTGGGATAAACAATGATGCAAGTCGGGGAGAGTTTGGTAAGTGCAAATTGTAGCTATTTTTGTATATAAGTTTTATTGAACTTATCAATACGGTTTATTAATATCGTTTGAATAAATATCAACTTTAGTGTAAATATGTATACTTTGTGTATATTTGTGTTTTCGAGTTAATTGTGTACCGTTTGATAGATTTTTTGTCTTTTGTAGGTAATGTCGCATATTTGGAGCATTGAGGAATAAGGTGTCAAAGGCACGGATCCAGAGAAGCATTTTTAAAATAAAGGTTCAGGCGAGCCCGCTTAACGGGGTCTGTAGCGTGCTACGAGTGTTTTTGTAAAGTCTAGAAGAAACGCATTTTCTGAGTCCGCTAAGCGCGATTAGTCCAGTTAGCAGGAATTAAGTAGTTTAATGTGTATTTTTAGGAGCAATCCGCTTAGCGTCTTGAGGCCGCTTAGCGCGGTCTGCTGAATTTTGTTTTATAATATTCATCTGATTCATTTATAGGGGGGTGATTTTGGGTAGTTTTTGAACCCCAAATTCATCACCTCCATTCTTTGATATGATTATCTAGAAAACAAATAGGGTCTTGCATATGGATGATTTAGAGGAGAATTTATCATCAACCGACACTGACAACCCACAAGATGTTTGGTTTTCCTCTATTCCTCTCTACGTATTTCTCTTTTGTTGGGTTTTTTTGTTTGTATACTTACTCTGAACATATGTATATGTATTGATCATGGTGTTGTAGAATATATGTTATATAAATGATCATTGTTGCTTTCTTTGATCTTTTTGCATTTATGTTTGGATTTGTGTTGTTGTAGAGATAGATATCACAAGTCTTGATTAGGAAAAGAAATATGTTATTTTCTAGATTCTAGAGATAGATTTAGAGCTAATAATCACTTCGATATCGAAGCTTAATGTTTCTGTGTTGTTATTTTATGCTGAGAGATCTCTGACGCGAGAATACGGTTGTTCTCATAATTTGGGTTAGACATAACCTCTGTAGTGATATGTCTCATTGGTGTTGTAGAGAGATCTATGATGTGAGAGATACGTGATCATTTTGACGAGTATTGCATGTTTAGTAAAACTGATTGATAGGTTTAAGTTTGTGATGAGTGGTGTAAATTCATGCTAGATAGTTTCCCCTCTCCAAAGAATGTATTATTTCTTGTTTATATGTTTAATTCCCACATTTACCTTAAACACATTCTAAATTAAACTCAAGAAAGCGAGACTTGTCGAGTGACAATTCAATATGCAATAATCCTTGTGGATATAATATGATAAAACTAAATAAATACTTACTTTTGGTTGCCACTTTATTGCTTCAACAGTTATACGCAAACCATGATATAGCATAATTAGCTCAACATGAAGAATGTTGGAATAACCAATATTACCCGCAAAATTGTGAACCCAAGCACCATCAGCATTTCGAACCAATCCACCAAAACCTGAGACGCTGGGATTACCGATGCTACTTCCATCAACATTCAAAATTATATTACTACCTTTCTGTGTATTCCATGTGATCATTCTCGTTGGATGAGACATATTATGCTTGAGAAAACATTTAGCTAAAATATTTTCATAATTCACTATGATAAGTATCAAAGTATAGGAAGATACCACTACATTCGCAAGACACAATTTGTTCCTAGCACGCCACAACCACCAGCAAGCATCCAAAAAGATAGAGCCACCATTAAATGCCATGTCTATTTTAATCATATAAACTATCTTCTTGGAAGAACAATGGATCCAAGAAGACAATAGATTTCTAAAAGCAAGTAGAAAATTCACATCCTCTCAAGTAGTGTAAAGTCGTCTTAGCGTCCTGATTAAATCTAGAACAAACATTTGTCTAGAGCATACTACGATGATACAACATTTATCTTGTAGGAAGGGACTTATGTAAAGATGTCCAAAGGAAGAACTTCACCTTCTCAAGAACAAGAATATTTTACACCAACTTTCAAAAGTTATTATATGTTGTATTCTAAATAAATTAAAGTATGTTGAGTCAGTTATAAACATCGCGAGTAGTATAGATACCCTCTAAATTTCCTTTCCAAGTTAACCGATCAGAAACCATAGAATTCAAACAAATAGAAAGCGCTTTTAGGTGGTCACAAACAACTGCGGGAATATTATAATATATTGAGTTAAAGTTCCAATTTACATCTAAGTAAATATCATTCACTCGCATTTCCAAATCATGGATATCCATATAGAGAACCTTCTCTGCTAACTTCCCTACCAAAGACCGATTGGAAAAGAAAAAAGAGGACTTCTCATCCCCTAATCTTAATTATAATCCATCTTTAACAGTCGAAAGAGCTTTCATAATTTCATTCCAAGTAACTAATCCCAATTTTATTTTCATATTTAGGAACATTTTCTCAATGATGTATGTATGCTTCAAAACTTGGAACCATAGGGAATCACAATCCCGATGGAGATCCCAAACCAACTTACCCAACAAAGAGGTATTAGCCTCTCTTGATTTTTGGATTCCAAGACCACCCAACTTTTTGGGCTTAGTCTTCTTATTCCAGCCTATGAGATGCACACCAGAGTTTAAATTACCTTTCTCTAAAAAATTCCTAGCCATCCTATAAATAAAATCACAAGTTGGCTGAGGTAGCCAAGCCACTTGCATATAATAGCTTGGAATGGAGTTTATGATAGAACTAACCCGAGTCAAATGCCTAGTCTTTTTAACAATTTATGTTGTCAAGAAGTTAACTTATGATTGATTTTCTCCTCTAGGAACTCAAAGTTCTTGTGTTGAATATGACCATGCAACATAGGGAAACCCAAGTATTTATCTAGAGTAAGAGTTTGCTTGATACTTGTGTTGGAGACAATTAAATCTACTTTACTCCTCTTAGTGGTAGCGAAGAAGAACAACTTTTATTTAGAGATATTTACTTTAAGGCCAGAAAACATGTAAAAATGATTCAAGGTATCATAAATGATATTTGCCTTGGAGTCCGGAACATTCAGAAAAAGAAGAACATCATCACCAAAAAAATAAATACGATATATGGGGTCCATTACGAGATAACCTAAAAGGTTTCAATAGCCTTCATAGAATTCCATTTTAACTATAATTTTGGTGGTAAGCTTGTAAATTGTTTTGCACAAGATAATGGGTTTGAATTCCATAAATTTTTGGGGGCAGACTACCTTAGAAATTAATGCAATAAGAGTTTCAAAAAGAGGTGAGTGAAAACTACCTATCACAAAAGCATCTGATATAAGTTGGACAACATCATAACCACCTATATGCAAAAATTGTTTAAATAAAATACCCTAGTATCCATCAGGTCTAGGCGCCTTGAAATGATGCAGTTGATTCAATGCAAAAATAACTTCTTCCCTCTTAACTTGTCGAGTCAAATAGTGTTGAACTTCTTCAGTAAGAATCAATCATAGTTGAATTACCCACACTAGCGAGGAGTATATGAGATATAGGGCATAAAATATCATTAGAGAAATGTAGTGTTTCTTGTAACACCCCGAAATTTAATTAATTTATTTAATCGAATTATTTGTGTTTTACTTGATTACTTAGTATGTGGTATGCCTTTAATTAAAAAATTATGATTTTATATGTGTATGTGGTAAATGGTGGGGTGTAGGGAGAGTAGTATAGAAGTGGTAGAGTAAATAGAAATAATTGGATTTAATAATAATTTTAATTAATTAAATTAATGAGAAAATAGTAGAAATTGTAGAGTTTGGGTTAATATGAGAAAAAAAGAAATTAAGGGAAATAAGAGTATAATGAGAATAATAAGGGGGAGAAAAATAGAATTATTAGTAAGATGGGATAATTAGAATAAACCTAATGATTTAATATTAGAATTAACCTAGAGTAGTCAGTATGTGAAATATAATTTTAAGGAGAAAAGGCAAGAGCAAGGATAGGGCTTGAAGAGGGAAGAACCAACCTTGATCAATTTTGAAATGGTTGCCTAGAATCTGAGGAAAGGGAGAGAAAGTACTTCTACATGGGTGTTTTTCATGAAAGAATAAAAGAAAGACCCTTACTCTCTTTAGGATTATATTGTATTGGGAAATTGCAGAATTGAAAATGACTTATCTGGAGTTCTGTAACTCCGATTGATGCACGATTTGGAGCATTGGAAAGATAAAACGGAGGAATAATCCATGTTAATATCCCCAAATTTTTAATGTATACTTGAGGACATGATTATGTTGTGTTACTTGTTATGTAACGCTATTTGATGGTCAGAGACAATGGAAATATTTGTAATTGTTGTTGTGTAGTTTAGTTGATAATTAGTTATTGTTTGGCTGTGTTTGGTGATGTTAATAAATTATTATGAGCTTAACTGATCAAGGTGGATTATCATTGTTGGATAATAATTTATTTATCTAAAGATTTTTGTTTAAGTTGTATATAAGTTGTATGGATGCATATGGTGTTGTTTTGTAATGTTTTAGTTATATGATGTAAATATGACTAGTGTTGTTGTGATGTGATAAATAGTTCAAAGTGGGAACTATTTGTATGCTCATATGCATTATTGTTGTGATTGTTGGATAATAGTTTAAAATGGGGAATTACTATTGTGTTGTCAATGCATGTTGTTTATGATCAAAAGAGGGGCCTTGAACATTATTATTGTTGTTGCATTGATTTGTATGACATACATCATTATTTAATGTTGTTGAAAGAGGCCTGATCACTAGTTCAGAAGAATGGAATAGTGACTTGTGCCAAGCTTAGAAGAGGGATGGGGTCTTTGAGCTAAGAAGGGGGACTCATGGTTTCATAAGGGGGGACACGGTTTTTGTGAGAACCAAATGTTGAGTTTGGTACCACATGTTATGTGTCACATTGTGTCGTGAGTCTCATTGCATATATGTATATATGTTGTTGTGGAATTAGTTTGAGATTGTGATGATTTTGGTTGTGTATTGAATGTGTGATTAGTTATGTGTTTATATACCCTTGCATTCTTTACACCATTTTATATAGAAGTTTATTTCTCACCCTTTTTGCTTTATGTTGTTCACCATGGACATCTTGCAAATAATCAGAAGTAGGGTTGTTGTTGTGTGTGAAAGGTGGCTTGTTGGAGTTATTCTTCTTTATTTTATCGTTATCACATTTTAGTGGTTTCGGTGCTTTGATCTTATAACATTGGAAGGGTGCTTGTTGAAGCTATTCTTCTTTATATTATCGTTATCACATGTTTTAGGGTGTTACATTTCTTCCCTAAGAATAGTACCATCATTGCACCAAATACCAATGGAAAGATGAAGGCCATGGACTTTATTGTTAGAACATAGTTTGGTTCTACATCTAAGTATTAGTTTTAATGATAACAATTACATGATTATTATGAAGAACAATTATGCTCTCTAATCGTTTAATTAAATGTACATAGAAGTTCTAATGAAAAAACATAGAAGATGGCGACTGAATCATAAGCTGAAACTCTGGTCCGAATATGCGTACAACTTAGAAGCAAATCCAAGTAAAACACCTGAAGAAAAGAAGTTTTAATGTTATAACTTATGGAGCACCAAGTTGCAAGCTATACTCTGATAAGTGAAATTCTGAAGAACAAAGAAGCTTCAACGTGTCTGTGACATTCAAAGTTCTGATTACATGAAGTCAAGCTCAAGAAACTCTGAAAGGACTAAAGATCCAACATTACATTTATGACAATATATTACAGGATCAAAAGTAACGGCTGGAACTAGACATGATATGTATTTCTGGAAAGATCATTAACATCTCAAATAATCAACCTTCCAAAAATAAGTTCTTATGTCTCTAACAAATCAAATAAGTCTTCTATTTAAAAGAGAAGATGAAGATGGATCTAAATAATACTTACAAACATATCAAACAAGAGTAAGCAAAATTCTCTATTATTTTTATCTATTGAATTATAATTGTGCTTCAATTTTGTGTAAAAATCACAATTGTGATACAACTTATTAGGAGAATTTGTAAACACAATATATTTGTTTAAAAAGTGTAACTCCTTGAGAAACCAAGTTGTGGTTTGATCTCAAGAAGACGTTTACGGTTGTCTTCGTGGTTTGTGATCAGTTTTGATTAGTGGATTAAGACCTCGATTGAGAGAGGCGAAATCAGCTTGACGGGTAGACTAAAGTAGTTTGAGTTTAAATGAACCAGGATAACCAACGTATTTTTACGCTTTAATTTTTGAAAAACCCAATTCAATCCCCCTTTCTTGTGTTTTTCTATCCTTCAATTGGCATCAGAGTTCCTGGTTTTGGGTGCTAACACTTAACTGTGTGAAAAAAAGTTCCTAAGAAAGAAAAACACTATGGTGGGACAAGTCAAAACAACAACGACGACAACCATGATGAGAATGACAGAATCATCGCCAAACCTCCAATCTTTGATGGAGAAAACTTCAATTACTGGAAAGACAAAATTGAGAGTTTCTTTATAGCTCATGACGTTGATCTCTAGGACATGGTAACTAATGGCTACATTCATCGAGTCAATGCAAAAGGTTAGTAGATCGATATGAAGAAAATGACTGATGAACAGAAGAAAGAATTCAAAAACCATCATAAAGCCAAAATAATCCTTTTGGGTGCCATCTAATATACTGAGTATGAGAAGATCACTTAAAGAGAAACTTCTCAACATGTTTGAATCTCTAAAAATGACGCATGAAGGTAACACACAAGTCAAAGAGTCCAAATCT